GCTTGCTTCAAGCTGGAGATGCAATTCCCTCAGTGCAGCATCCCTTACAGCCTGCCAGCTCTATCCTTGCTGTCCTTTAAAATGGCAGATAACCTGGTGGCTGGGACAAAGTGACAGGAGCTTCACCTCTGCTTTGCTTTCCTCTGCTCCAGTGCTGGCTTTGGGAGCTTCACCTCTGCTTTGCTTTCCTCTGCTCCAGTGCTGGCTTTGGGAGCTTCATCTCTGCTTTGCTTTCCTCTGGTCCAACGCTGGCTTTGGGAGCCAGCTCTGGAGATACAAAGGATGTGCAAAGTGACTGCCAGCTATACCAACTGTGCCCCCCAGCACAGAGAGAAATTCTACCCTGGGTTTTAGTGCTGAGGAGTCATAGGAAGTACAACACAGAGAACAGCTCCCACGATCAGGGCCTGACTCACTGACAGTATCAACCCAGCAGGACCAGAGCATCCTCAGCAGCAGGCTGAGCACTGGAAAATGCCAGTGGAGTCAGCAAGATGTAACCAGATGGGTTGGGCCCAATATGTGATAATGGGAAATGAAGGGAAAACAAATTACTAAATATACTAAATATAGCTTATTAACAAAGTGAAGTACAGAAGATGAACATTCCTATGCAAGATGCATATTTGCATGTATATATAGAATTAGTAGATGTACAGTTTATATATATAAAAATTTACATTTGTGTATGTGTACATTTACTCAGTATAGCTAAATATTAGTAACATCAATACTAAAGTCATTATTGCATTAGAAAAGTCCCCACAGAAGCACTGTACTTCTCTAGCTGCTGTGAGACAGAAATGGTTGATCTCCTGCTAGGTTTATACAGCCTAAATATAGCTCAAAAGATGTTTCTGACACACTTGTCTCTCTTTTTGGTTGTCAAATGTACTCTGAATAAGAGTACCCTGGAGAAAGGGGTTTCTTTGCTCTCAACATACAGTCCTATTTCCTGTGAAGGAAATGGGAAAGCAGCCTTGAAGAATGTGAGTCATCAGATCTGTCAAGCTGAATCCACTAGGCATAGGCAAGGCAGATGGAGATGTAAATGCAATTCAGGCTGAACAGACATTTTAAAAATGCAGCATTGTCTCATCTTTCTCCTCTTTGGTCATTCAGTTTAAATGCCCCCCTTTGGTGGACAGGACACTAAAATTTTCCTTTCAGTTCAGCAGAGCAGTGTTTGCTATGTGCCTGCATGAATTATCTAGCCCTCCATCAGCCAAGATACACTTGCTGTCTGCTAGTTTGGTCAGTGAAACACCACATGTGGGCCACGACCTGCCCTCAGCAAGCAGGGGCTGTGCCAACACTCTGAGCTGGGTGCCCGACATCAGCAGCCTCCAGCTTGTGAAAGCATTGGTGCAAACCTGCTGGAACACAACATGCAGAGATGAGTAAAGGGGGTGTTCTCTGAGTTTAGCTTATCCCAGGGACAAGGAAAGATATATGGTTTCCTTTCTTTCTTTCTTTCTTTCTTTGAGTAGGTCCAGTCAAGTCTGACATTGATTTCTACGAGGGCAGCAACAGATGCTAAATCAATAGGAACCAGCAGTATCACAGAGAATGACTTTGTCCGCACAGCCCTGAGTCCTGCTCTTGAAATGGCAACATGTGAACCTTTGTGGGTAACTCTTCCTAGGAAACACCACCCTCATCAGATGAGTAAGGGTACATGCCTGAGAATCTGGCTCTGCATTTTCTGCATAATGAAATTCTCTCAAATTATTGAATTTTGCTGCTTTCAAAACACATCACAAAATTCAGATCCTTAGTTTTGAGAAAATCTGCTTTGCCTGACACTGGTACTTCCATATATTGGTGTATCACTCCAGACCCATACTGACCTATGTAACTGTACCAAGTGGAGAGTGAATGGGCAGCCTCAAGGATTCCCCCACACGGCTGTGAAATTGTCAGCTGAGCTGCTGCAGCCAGCAAGAAATTCACCACACTAACAACTGAAAGTACAGTGGCATAAGGAAGTTACATCACTTTAAAACTGGCCTCAGGGTCCTGTTCTTTCACCTTGCTTTTAGTAACAAGTCTTACGTCAATTTTCTGGGTTTTTTTATTTTTTTATTTTTTTAATTTTTTTCAACCTAATTTTTTATTGGTGTCTAACAAGTTCCGAACTATAATCGTTTTAATTAATCTAAAAAACTGCAGTGGGGCATTTGACTCATCTCCAGAATCTATGTGCCATTGCTTTCAGGTGACTCTGAGTCACCTGAGCAGTTACCTGGCAGTCACCCATCGGGCCAGGCACTGACCTTGCCTGCAATCCTGTCACAGGTGATGCTCCACTCTTGTACCTTGAGTGGAATGAGACCCAGGCTATGCAGGTGCAGATTTGTTATTTGGGGTCACACCAGTGCCTTTTCCCAGGGCTGGAAGGACACAAGCCAGCAGGAGCCATTGCAGTCCTATCTCCCAGCAGCCAGGAGCGAGCTCCACGTCCCCCATCAGCTCCGTGCTGCACTGCTCTGAGACCTGGGTGTGTTAGAGCCAGGTCCTCCAGCTGTCCCCAACCCTCTGTCCTGTTGGCAGCAGCTGTCCTGTGCCTTGCTGCCATTATGGTATTGAGCTGTTCCGGCCAAAGAGGCCATGCAGCTGGGCACAACTGGGGTAATGTAAGGAGGAATGGTGGCTTTCCATTATGTAAATTACAGGACCTGCGTACTGCTTATCATAAAATCCCCATTGTATGTAACAATGTGTGATAGACTGAACTTTTTTTTGCTTGGATGGGCAGGTTGAGCTCGGCTATTGTTTCCCTCATAATGTGGGACTGATGTCTTAAACAAGGCATTTTTATTCCAGATAAGGTAAAAGGCTGTTAAGAAGTCTGTCCTGCAGAGATGAGGTAATGCTTTTCATCATACCAATTTCCTCTCCCCCAATAAGGCTGACAGCATAAAACTCCCTCCCAGGGCAGGTGTTGGGCACTCACACACAGGCCTGAAGCTATTGCTCCCTAAGGAGGCACAGCTGGCACAGTTAGAAACAGGGCCAAAGAAGCAAACATGTCATTGGAAGGGGCCTCAAACCATCAAAAGACCCCAGAGAAAACCCCTCCCCGGGGGAAGTACTGGGGTATTAAGCCTGAATGCATACAAGCTGTCAAACTCTTTGTTGTCTGGGTGCTGGCCCCAACAGAACAAGACTGCCATGATGACTCCAGCCATGGACATCAAAATTGCAACAATCAAGTCTTTTTGCAGATCCACGGGTGGTGACATCTTTCCTTCCCCCTATCTACTCTTGTCCTTTCCTTCTCTTTTTTTCTTCTCCTTATATATTTTTCTTTGTCATCTTTTTATAATTGCACAGAGAAGAAACAAAGTGGCTACACACCTCCTTTCCAGTGCAACAAATTTGTTTTAAAATAAACTTGCCTCAAAAATGTACACTGGTAATTCAGTGTCATTTTACTCTAATCTGTCCCAAGGGATCTATTGACAAGAACTCCAGTTACCCTGCTTTAGAGGTTGGTTGTAACACTAAGCTAGGAAGTAGTACACATTAAAATATTCAGAATAATAGGCATTTATTTTCAGTACTATTTTCATTAAATATTGGTATAATATATCCATGTCTGAGGTAATAAATTAAAAATAAACTCAAGATTTCAGTCCCATATTTGTGCTGCATATTTTTTTTCTACCATTATACATATTTTTGAAGCAAACACACACAGTCTGTAATTCTGAATGCAGCTAGGAATATTGTTTTACACAGTCACTTTTTGTTTCACTATAATTTTGCTGAGAATGGTTATTGCATGATACACTTTTAATAGACGTTTTAGTTATACTAGAGTTTTCTATTAGATCACATATATCGTAATTATAGGAAGATGGGCATGAAGATGTGCTTTGAGCCAAGGATGGCAAATACTGAATCAGTGATAGCACATACTGACTGCAGCATTATTGTCTGCCTTCACTAGAGCCCAGATCCAGCAAAGCCATTTCAGTGTGTGCTTAGTTTTAGACATGAGTCATTTCAGTGTCATCCATGGCCTTAATTTTTGCTGAATCAAGGACTAGCCAAATCTGTAGAACTGAATTAATAGACTTCTTTAACTGTGTGTTATTTGAAAACAGGTTTGCTGGTTTCACATTTTGTAAGATATTTTGTAATGACCTCTGTAAGATTGTTCGTATCAGTGAAGCACCCATGAAAGTTTCTAACCTGGTTCATAAATACACTATGAAAAAATAAGCAGCTACAATGACTCTCTTCTACACATTTTGTTAAAAGTAACACCTGGTTTGAAAAGTTATTAAAGCAATTTTTTCCATGGTAAAATATATTTAAAAAAATAAACTCTTAATTTAATCATCTTCCATCAAACATATAAGCATGTTAAAGGGCGGGGCATAATTCAGGTATTTTCATTTATAAATGCAAGAGATTGAGTGTGTCAATCTTTTGCACTTAAATGCTGGTGGTAGTAAGGCCCTTTCAGCTAAGTCTTCATCAAGCCCAACATCAGTGAGCTAAATAAACAAACAAACACAAAATTTTGCTTGCATATAACTTTTTCATAATCCTGAATTAAAAAAAAAAAATCCTCCCTGCTTAGAAAAGAACTCTTCTTGAACTGCTGCCATTAAAAAGCATACCTCACTTCCATGTTAAGTTTAATCAGTGATTCTGAATGCAAAGGATTTAAACACTCACTAAAATTGCTGTGGCATGCCATTAGACTCTTAATGTTCATAAATTGTGCTAATTCCCATTTAAATCAGGAAGCTATAGTTTAGAGTTAGAGCTAATGGTTTTCTTAGTGTTAAAGGTCTATTTCCACCAGATTTTCTTTATCCTATTTTGCAAATGACTGACAGTGCCTATGATGTGATCCTGAAGAACCGTTTGGTGTTATTACCAGAAGCTATAGTCCGTGAGAAAACTCTCCATGCTCATGCAGTGAGTTGCATTGCTGGGGGACCATGGCCAGCACCGCCGTGCTCCCGGGCCCGGCCGGGCCCTCAGTACTCCACCGAGCTCACCATCGCCATGGGCTCGTCAAACGTCGCCAGCCTGATCTGCTTCGGGGTGGGGATGGAGAGCATCTCCCCGGGGTCGCTCGGCGAGTGAATCCCATTGTCCATCATGTTGGACACCTCCTCCTCATGGTCCTCGTACAGCGTGTTGATGTGCAGCAGAGGGTGGGCCGGGTTGCAGCTCAGTGCAGGCGTGGGCTCTGGCTTGACCTGGTTCAAAGCCATACTGGTGGCAGCAGCAGTGGTGGCTATATGGTTGTGGTTACACGTGACAAAAGCCGCAGCAGCAGGCACAGTTCTGCATGCCTCGGATGAGTACAGGATCTCTTTTGCAGGATGAGGGGTGTCTACAAGAGAACAAAACAGACAGATGAAGGACAGGTAGTCTCTCACCATTCCAGTCCATCAGCGAGGAGTGTCCTGAACCAATAAAAGTCATTGGCAGTCTCGCCACTGATTTCAGTGGGATCAGAAGAGGATCCCAAATGGAATTTTCTTGGGACCCTTGAGAAATCCAAACAGGACTGTTTGAAAATAACAGGGTTGTAAGCTCAGGGAAACAGGACAAACAAGAATTGGGGTTTCTAAATCTCACTCTTTTTTATGCATGCTCATGCTTCCTTATGTGAATGGTATTTTTGTAAAATGAAGAAAAAAAAAAACAACTGAAAAGTATATTTATTCCCCTCCTAGTCTGTTTTTTAAACAGTATGGTTTAATATTTTGACAAATGCAATGACTGTTGAAATCCACAGGATGGAATACAAAAGGCATTGATATTTTCAGTGGGAAAAACCAGCGGTTACACATTGTAAACCACTTGTCTTTAGAAAGAACTCAGCAATTTGTCATGAACTGAAGTCTCTTTCCAGAATTTATGTCTGCCTTACCTGATGGACTGCAATGTAGGTCTAACTCAAAAACAAAGCTGAAAATTTTTAATGTAATAGGGAGTCACAGAGCCCCAAAACTCCAATAATTATTTACTGCCCTTAAAATATTCAAGCACTAATTTAGATTAAGGTAATTGAACCAGAAAACCCCAGCAGTTTTGAGGAGTTGAAATCAGAGCAGGTGACTGGATAAAGAATGCTGTAGAATAGCTCACATGCACATTGGGGAGTTGCAGGACTCTAAGGAGCATAGGGATTTGGAAGTGACAGAAACTTTTATACCTCAAATCACTTCTTTGCTGGGCAGTGGGGTGACGGTAGAGGTCAGTCTGTCGAAGCCCAGAGGGAGGTCTTAGCTTGTAATGAGATGAGAGCCATTGCTTTAAGTACGTACAGATTTTTCTGTAACTTCAACTGCATTGTGCTTCTTTCTTATGTCAGTAGCTTACAAAAATAAACAAGAAGATATCTGTCTATCAGTTTATTTACTGATCTATCACTTTTTGTAATGTTCAAATGGCTTTCCTCATCATCCTAGCTCACAGCAATTACTGATATATTTGGAACACTCCCTTGAGTTAAGAAAGGGACAGGCTTTACAAGACCCCCAGGGAACTGAAGCACAGAAAGAGCATCTCCTGTGAGGCCACATGGGAAGGGAATGGCAGAAATCCTGAACCCCTGACCAGCACCAACACTTCAGAGCATCCATCCTCTGGTCCACATAAGACACAGGGCAGTTTAAAGTGTGTGTGAAGAACAATGCCAACAAGCTGAGTTTTGATTTTCTAGGTGACAAACATATGACAACCCCTGAGAGTTGGTAGTCTAAGAGATCTTTTTTCCACAGGCAGCTTTAACTGCCATTAGTAGTCTCCCACACACCCCTAAGGGGCTGTTACTGCTCAGGTCATGTACCATGGCAGTTCCCATACGACTTGAAAATAAGGCAGGTTTGAAACGTGCCAGGTGCTGGTGGAGCAGGAAGGGTATCATGGAAGCTGAATGCTCCTCATTTCCTTGGCAAGGCATGATCACACTTGCAGTTGTGAAAACCTGCTTACATTTGAAACATTACCCACACCAACAGCCTGCAGCCTGTTTTGTACAGCTCCACTTGTAATAATCCTTACCCTCCACACAGTTGTTAAAGAGAGAGAACCTCTATTTCTGAGACCTGCAAACTTTGAGATTACTATCTACTAGCTATCTCCAAATCTAGCAAGGTAGGTCAGTTTCTGAGTTCCTTAAGATTGCTATGTAAATTATGGCCTGTGGAGGTGGTATGGGCATTATGGCATACTGTACCTTTGAGAGAGGAGGTAACATGCACTACAACATTCTCTTCCTGGTTTAAAAATCCACCCTCTTGGCTTTTTGACGTAGGCATCGAGGGGATGGCTTGAACCTCTGGCTTGGGTTTTTTGCTACTGAGTATATATGGATGAACATCCAAGGAAAAGTGCCGTGTGTGCTTTTTTTCACTGCTTGTGCTTGGGATGGCGTTTGGCTCGCTCTTGTGAGCGGACGATTGCTGTGAGGTTTTTGCAGCAGACTCCAGCAAAGGAGCTATAAGGCTGTCTGTCGCTGTTTTTCTCCGCACAGGCTTCGGTTTGTCAGGCTTGTGGTTCTCAACCTTCATAATGGCTAACTGCTCCTTGAATGGCTGCGGAAGGGGATTGGTAGTTGGGATCCATTTCATCTTCTTCCTTGGCCTCTTAATGATGAGCTGTTCATTAGCATCGATGTCTGCTGGATCAACGCTTGGGTCTATGGTCTGAATCCCTGAATCACGCATGGTCGGAGTGGCATCGTGGTTGGACTGGGCCAGTGCCGCGAGCAGCTGGCGCACCACGTTGTCGTACATCAGATCGCTTTCATTTGTAATAAAATCCAGACGGTTCAGTGATTTTATGTGGTCCCTGTTTTCATTACAAAACATGGCCAAAATATTAATATCACAAAACTGGGACTTCTGCCACTGTTTCTTGGTCTTGATTCCTACTTTGTTCAGTTTATCAAATATGAAGTTAGACTTGCGAAATATGAAGAGGTGAATCAAGTTGATGAGGATTATCAAGTTCATGAAGCAGAGGAGAACGATATCTACACCAGCAATAATCCGCTGGAGCTGGACAGATGGCAGTTTACAGTTCACTCTGATGTGCAATTTGGAGCTGCTCGTTTTGTCTGGAGGCTCACCTAGGGCACACGTAAATTCATTTTGCTTCTGTGTAGCATAGTAGGTGGATAAATATGTGATTGGTATGATGCTTAAAAAGATGATGAACAGATGTCTTGCAAGATAAAGCTTAGCTAAAAAATTACTTCGTCCTCTTCTTTCCAGATATTTCTCAAACAAGTTCTGCTCAGGGCTTTTTTCCTTCTCCGCATTCTCAATGATTTCTCTTTTCTCTCTCTCTGTTATCCCTGGGCCTTTGGACTGAATCTGTTTCTCTATTTTTGGTGCCCGCCCTTCAGCTGCACGGTGGTAGCAGTTATCGATCTCCTGAAGCAAAAAATTAAGCTCCGAAGTCAGTCGAGTGGAGGCCAGAAATTCCCAGCCCAGAGCTGGAATGTACATTATCCCAGCAAAAGCCAGCAGTGCATAAGGTAGGAACTTATGCTCAAACAAGGAGGGCCAGTGGCTGGCATCAACTCCTGGCAAGGCATCTTTTAATTCTGTCCAACAATATCCTCTGGCATACAAGGCTTGATCGCGGGTGAAGTTGTGTGGTGTGTAACAGTATATTGGCTCCTCTGTATAACAGAGAGAAAAGTCACTGCTGTGCATTTAACCTACAAAAGGGGCTCTGGAAAATAAACATTTCAAATTATATCAATTTTATTTTACTGTATCTTCACATGACCATTAAGCCCTCCACATCTATTAGCCAGCTCAGTCTGCACACACATCCTCACAAACCCTACGGCAAAACTATTTACCTGAAAGTTTTAGAATGAGCCTGAGTTAGAAATGTCAGCAAGAAATACATATTTTGGTTTAATGACCTCTCTGAAAACAACATCCTAAGCAACTGTGATGTGAACTCTGTAAAGCTAAAAGACCTAATATTCACTACAAAGCCAGCAGCTGAGGATGTTCCATGCAAATGCTGAAAATGGGATGAAATATAAGGTTCATCCCAGCTAAGCATTCTTCTATATAGAAAAAAGTTAGACATAGCTTAAGACAATGTTTTAAATAATTATTAACAAAGTCAACTCATTTGATATGATAGGAAAAAATGAAACTCGAGACATACAAGGATTTAGTCAACTGTATTCCTCTCAGCAAATATTCTTGAATAAAAGTGTGACTGACCAGGACAGAATCTGGTGTGTTAACAATTTTTTGGCTAAGAAAATTTAATTCTACATTTGTAATTGTAACTTTGGGATTTTTACACAATGTGTAATGAAATGCAAATTGCCCTCAGACAGTATTATGGAAGAAAGAAATACTGTGGATCAAGAAAGAAATCAGACAAAGTAATAGGAGAGAAAGTATAGCAAGGATTATTAAATTCACAGTGATGCAATTTTTCTCTCAGGAAATGTTTCAGTCATATTCTGCTGGAGGACAGAAGGGTTTGTCAAAGGAAATTGCCACATACTTGCCTATTTTAACACTCCTTCTAAACATTTGTATTTTACCATCATCATCAGAATGTTGAGATAAAGGTCCTGACCCAGTAGATAAATTATACATGATCTTTTTTTTCCCTAGCAATACATGAGAGAGAAAAACTTGCGAAAGCTAAAGCAGCATCAATTCCCCAAAGAACAATGACCATTATGAAGACATCTTATTCAAAGAGGAAGACCATGTTTTCATGTTTTGACAGGTAGAACAAAGAGAATATATTTTACAGTGTTCTGGTACACCTTTAACAAACTTCCCAGAATGACACCCATAGGAGGAGGCATGTTCTCTTGATTCGAGAACCGCTCAAGAACACCAAGCCTGCTCTGGCTCTGAATGTAGTCTACAATTCAGATCAAGAACAGCTCCCTGGAAAAGCATGGTGGCACTGTTCTCCTTATAATAAAAATGAAAACAAAAAATTCATATTGATAACAAGAAATAGAATATTAAAAATTAATAGACAGGCAACTCCCCCTAATCTTTCTGGCTTAAAAAATGACTCCTTACTTGACCAGTTACTTTTCACACGTGAGCAAAGCAAAAGTTAGTTCTTTGGAGTGGAGGTATAAACCTCTTCTGTGACCTAGAGAGAATTAATGCTACCAACTTAAACAGAGTTGACAGAATAAATGCTGCTACTCAAGACAGCATGGAAAGTGAGTACACCCTGCAAATATTTTAATATAATTTTTGAAGACTATTTTAAAATTATCTAACTTCAGTCTCAGAGAATAGCTTAAAGCACTTCCATTTAGACTATTTTTATGAACTTGCAGATATATGTAATAAGAAAATTGATCATTGACTCCCTCGGTTTCGTAATTACATGGCCTCCCAAACCTACCCATGAAGGGATGCATACAAAAAGCTTAATCTCCTACTATCAAAGACTTATGGTAGAATTCCCCAGGAGGCCAAACAGAATCCTGCGCAAAAATGTTCCCATGGGGTAAAAAAAGGCAAAGCAGAATGCTATGTTTCTCATAAGCAGAATTTTTTTTAATTGGGTATCCCTAAGCCCAGTAGAACTTTCCAATATGAAAGCAAGTTTTCTGTGGCAAACATGAGTTCATTTCTTCTAGGTCTCAACATCACAAATACTTGGGGAAACAGCAGCAAGTATTCCTACAAATCAGCCATAAGGATTATTTTCTCATTCCTGCATCAGTTGCTACTATCAAATAAACTGATTAGTTCTTTCAGTTGTCTTCACTGAGACCCAAAAGCTAGGGTGACTGTTGTATATTTGTATATATATTGTATATATATACAAATATATATATATATATATATTTATATATATATATATAAATTGTATATATATACAACAACAATCCAATATGTTTTTCCTTTATAAATTAAAAAAAAAAAAAGAAACAAATGAAAATATCTTAACATTTTACATTTATATTGAACAGATCAGTCTATTACTGATAGACTAATGCACTCCATCCATTGCCACTGCTTTGGTGAAAAAAGTCTAAAGAGCTTCAGAAGTCCAGTTTGGACTGACCAGCTGCATTACAGGCTACAAAATGAGGCTGTCCCAAACAGTGGGAAAAGCAAACGTCACTTGAGAGGAATTTGGTCTCTTTTCCTCTGTTAAACTTGTTTTTATCTGACCCAGTTTTCTGTGAGGTTGTAAAAGATTCTAATTTATTTGGCCAGCCGAGCATGGTGTCCCACTCTTACTCAATGTTTTGCACCTTGTTGCTACTAATCTAGTATTTTCTTTGCATATTTGCAAAATTAGCATGATTTTCATTATATAACGTAAACCCAAAGACCCTTCAAACAAAAACAAATCCTCTGTGGAGCCAGTGGGACTTCTGATAACTGATTGAAGTGAGAGCAGTGGGGTTCAAAGAGTATTTTCTAATATAAAATCACAGAATCACAGACTGGTTTGGGCTGGAAGGGATCTTAGAGATCATCTAGTCCCAGCCCCCTACCATGTGCAGGGACACCTTCCACTAGGCCAGGCTACCCAAAACCCCATCCAGCCTTGCCTTGAACACTTCCAGGGATGGCACTGCCACAACCTCTCTTAGCATTATCTTTGAGCTGTATTTACTGTCAGAGAATGCCATAAATTTTGGTGAAGTTATTCCACAGGGATATTTAGCTTAACCCTCTCATCAAAGGACTTGACTCACAAAGCATTGCATCAAACCTGGAAGCTCCTTCCCCTAGAAAATGGTCCAGACAACTGAGAAGAGAGGAATTCCCTTCTAAAGTGATTCAAAGCAAAAGACTCATTTAGCTGTTGCCTGGACAAAGAACCTGTCTCTCTGCACTGACAAGAGGCTGCCAAGCAGGATCCACACCAGGTTTTGAGTTAGCTTTTGTGAATGTTACTTCTTAGACAGTGGCAGCATTTAACCTGGCATATAACAAACACCCTGAAGGTGTTTGATCCAGGTATAGTAGGGTATGGGGCTGTTTCTTCTCTGCTGCAGCCTGCATCCATCATTAATTAATGAAAAAGAAAAGCACCATGTCAATAACTAATCCTGTTATGAAAGCTGGCAGTGATGTATAGCTGCATATTAACACACAGATCTGATGAGGACAGCAGAGGAACAAGTTGTTCTCACACATACAACTCACTTAGCTGTGAGACCTCTGCTTAATGCAGTTTCAAGACACAGCAGATTTTTTTATTTCTTTGTTTTACAATATTCTCCTGATAGGTAAGAAGCATTAAAAAAAGGTTGCAATGGTGTTAAAATCATAGCTCTGATGTTGGATCATACAATATAAAAAATGCATTTGCTTTTAACTTTATATTCATAAATATAGAAAGTTTCTACTGATACTCTTCTTTCATCCTGAAAATTCTTACACAGTTTGTGAAGGTCCTTTTTCATATAGCCATTCCAGCCACCATGAAACAGCTTTTCCTTGAGACGCCACAGTTTAACTGCATATGGTAATGAAGTAAAGTATTGTAAAGAAAATTTTTAAAAGTTTGGGGAGCATTAATATGGCTGAGTGGATTGGTCATCCTCTCAATGTTATCTAATCTAAAGCCCATAAAAATAATCTGTCTGCTCCTTGAAATATGTATTCCTAGTAATTACTACATTGGGAAAAAAAAGGTTTTGATGGTGATATGTGATTTTTTAAAAATATTAACTTAAGCCTAAACGTGCACGCTAACAAACTTCATTTCCCTTTTTTCAATATGTCAGATGTTTTCAACAATTGTACATAAATACATTTTACATTTTATCCTGCTCACTATGCACCTAAGTAGCTTCTAGAAATCCACAGAACTGTCCTGTAGGATAAGGTATGAGAGAGATCTGACTGCATTTTTCAGACATGCAATCAAGATGAAATAAACAACACAGAACTACTTAGTTGTGTAATACAACTGATTGTGTTATGCCACTTGAGAAATTAAAATCCCTTGGCAGAGAAGTTTTTTCACATGCTCCATTCTGCAACATCTCACTCCATCCCATCATTTTAAGCATTTCTGAAAGGGAGAGAAGTGACTTGAGGGAGGTACTGTGGTACGGAAGTCGTACCTCAGGGGAATGGAAGTGCATGGCTGCAGAAGACACTCAAGGTAGGGAGAGGGATAAAGGAAGGGGTTGTGCCCAAAAAAACTCTTTAGAAAGAATCCAGACAGTATGGAAAGGAGTGAAGTCAAAGTCCTGAAGCTAGGAGCTGTCAAGTCTGCTGCTTTTAGAAAAGGCTTGGAGAAATGCCTGTGGGCTTCCTGCAGGCACACGCTCCCACTCCTACTGCTCCCAATGCAAGGTCAGCCACCTCCTGCTCCCCAACCTCCATATACTGTAATACACATTCAACTGTCCTCTTTGAGAGGCCCTGAATTAAACACCATTTTTTTCAGGCTGCAAGTGTTAGGCATGAATTATATGTTATAAAAATAAAACTGCTAAATTTTAAACTGGAGTTACAATATTCCAAGTTCTGGATTCCTCAAGGAAGGGGCCAGAATGCTGAGGTTTGGGGTTGGAACCCTTGAAAACTTTCCACTACAGAAATGAATCTCAGATGTGGAAATGGAGTTACCAGACTGCTGTTCCTAGACCATTTCTTGAAATTATACCCCAATGCAAAATCATAGATATGCTGA